ATTAACGTGAGACTTTCACAAGAATGACACCCAGTTGTGATGATATCCATCATGTGATGGACGAGAGCTCAGCTCGTCTTCACCCGAAACGAGAAAGGAGGTCTCATGGACTGCGTCGACCTGAACGTCGTATAAAAGCACACGGCTACAGTAAAACGGGATTCATCCGTCCTCATCTGGTGAAATCGACCAACGAATCTCTTCTTCATGCACTTTCATACGAAATGAATAACAATGTTTTAATTGCTAAACTTATCTTACTCCCGAAATCTTTTATAAAATAAAAAGACTTGACAATTATCAAATTTAAAGAGGCCATAATTAAATTTATGCTGTGCATACAAGTCTTAAAAACATGATTAATATTGAGATGTAACAAATGAACGAGACTATATGCAAATTTATTTGATTTGACAATTTCCACTTCCTTTCTCAATAAATTTAATTATTCTGCTCTAGAATTTTCATTTCAACATCTGAATTTATATTGATACTTATTACCCGTTATTAGTCTATTTTGTCCTTCTTTGATCAGTGACGGCATAAATAGGAAGAACCTGATTGCAATTTTTCATATATAGGCAGAGTTTCAAGACTACGAGTATATCAGTAATATGAGATGTATTCATTGTATTTCGTTTAAGGTGATGAAGAACTGGTAGTAAAATTTTCCCACTGGAGGTGTTGATAAGACCTAGGCGAAGTCGAAACTGCAGTTCACTCTAAATGAGAACACCTTTTGGAAAAGTAAGGCTATGTGAAATTCAATAGAAACATCAGCTCTGCCCATATCATTGTGAAAAAATGTTACTACCTTCATCACCTTAAAAAAATAGGTTGAATAAATCACATATACTCAAACTTAATCTACTAAAATGAAAAAGTTTTCTGAATAGGCTGAACACGCCTCATTAGTCCACTAAGCGCTATGTTTTTTTCTTAAACTGAGCAGATTATTTGTATAAAATTTGTTAGGCAGTAAAACCAGATATAAATAGGTAAAAGCACACTCAAAAAGTTAAGTAAGCAAATCAATTTTTTTTAATTTTCTATTTAATTTGTTGCTTCTTTTCGTGCTACCGAAATTCTATATCAACTGTGTAGGGTTGTAAGTATAGTTGAGATTTTAAGTGAGATAAAATAAATAAGGCGATCCTATTCATAAATATCACGATTTGATCTTATTCCTAAGGTTAGGTATTATTATAGGATTTCGACTTAGGCACTAGTTTTGGGATACGACAAGTGATTGTCAGGTTACATTTACTCGTAAAAAAAGATTATATATAAAAAGACCTTGGGTTTAGTCTCGGACACTTTTCATTGTATACAGTTAGTTAAACTCTGCTTTAGCCAGAGCATATTACTAATAATTCTTCAGATTCTGGCAGAAGATACGACGATATTGACAGAGATTGAGATACGGAGTAAGTTTATCTAAATACCCCTTAATGCAAGAGTTCCAAACACTTCTTAAGAGATAGTCGTGGATGCCTTTTATGCCAGTCTACACCAAAATCATAATGGTATATCAAAGTTTTCTTTCTGTTTTTTCTTGGAAGCAACACTTTTCTTGTTTAGTTTCAAACTTGCAAACCCAAGATTCGAGTAATTATATATATATAGACAGAGCGATAAACCATATACAATTATGCTGTGTTTTATGGCTTAAAAGTTTGTTTCCCCAGATGGAATAAGGCCTGAGTTTACGATCAGGAATCATGCAACCAGGATTGTCCTGTCACTGAAATTTAGGTTAAGTCTAAATTTCGAACAGATCCCACAAAAAAACCTGTCAGGAACTTAAGATAACTCTTTAGTATCAAGTTGAAATATGCTATCACAACTAAGAGGCAGAGAAAGATACATCCTTCTCAACTTAAACATTTGAGGATACTTTCAAATAGTCCCATCTGAATAAAAAATAACCAGCAATTAATACACTTTTTTAGCCCATTATATTCTAGAAGTAGTTTGATATCGTTTTCGCAACTTGGCTGTATTTTCACACATACCTAGATAATCGCACCTTGCCCGGATTATATAGTATCCAGGATAATTTCCAGCGTCAGACCGTGAACTTGGTATGCTATATTTTAGGCAAAAAATGTGATTAATAACTTAAAGATAAGTTAGATTAACTGATAGCCCAAAGATGAATATTCTTACTCCCTTGAGCCTCTCTCTACCAGTAGTGCATACACCGATTCTATTGTTTAGGATAATCCTATAAAAGAGATTAAAACAGTTTAAAAGACATACTGAAGAGGATGACGCGCCGTCGAAGTATTTGGGATTTAATGTCTTTCCACTAAGTTATCTGGGCTGAGTTAAACGGGATAATTGAACTTTATAGTTAACTCTAGCTTCGCATTTTTCCTCCCAATGGTATGGCTGATACTCTAACAGTTGAGCGAGGCTAATTCAATTGATTTAAGTGACTCTAGACCTTCTCACCATTTTAGATACATATACTCACCTACAGGCAAGTAGTCACATAATTCTTAAGAACAATGGCGGCATAGATAATTTAAAGTTAAGCATCCAGGCTGCACCATCTTGACGTAGTTCTGTATCTACTTCACACTAGGCTCATCCATTCAACCCTCCAAATATGATATTCTTTCCAAACTTCTAGCCTAGTTTTAGTCCAATTTCGACTTGTACAATTCTAGGGAGATTTGCGCTTATAGCACGATCGAATATTAGACATGTAGGCATGCAAAGTATGCTGTATAGAATGCCGCCGGATGAAAGCTCATTAGCAACGTAAGCTAGTGAAGACAAGCATAGTACCTGGCAGAAATGAGATCCAGGTTATGTGGGGTTAGAAGTAGTCCTCGAATTGGTCGTTTTTGTGTCAATCAATAATTAGTGGGCATTTTCGTTTATCTTCAAATTATACCTTGTCTCATTTACTTCATAATTGTCTAATTGAATTTAAGATCACAAAGATGTTGCCTAATATGATTTTACTTACCATAGCGATCCTAGGAGGATGCAAAAAGGCTTTTGTTCGAAAGATTTTAAGGAATATTTACATTTCGTATAAGTAAATATTGGCTCCTCGGGATCAATTTTGTTGAAAAAAATAGTTTGTGGTTCCCCAGCAGCTGAGCTTGCTTACAGATAAGAGCATGACAGCGACATGTCAAAATTGTATACTATATGGGATATATTTACCCTATTTCGTTTAAGGTGATGAAGGACTGGTAGTTGAATTTTCCCACAATCATATGAGTGTAATGGACGCTTCCAGTGAAGTTCGCATGGTCTTGATTTCCCAAAAGTTGTCCTCGCCTAGGATGGACTGCAGTTTCGATCTCGCCTAGGTCTTACAAACAACCCTAGCGGGATTCAAACCATCACAATTTCGACCTAGGCAAGGTCGAAATTACAGCTGAGAACACCTTTTGGAAAAGCAAGGCAATGTGAAATTCAATGAAAACGTCAGCTCTACTCATATCATTGTGGGAAAATTCTTCTTCTACCAGTCCTTTATCACCTTAAACGAAATAGTCTGAATACATCTCATATGATGGATCTACTGGTCGTCTCGGAAGCCTACTTATAGACGAAAAATTGTATGCTGCTCTGCACTGGTTTGATTCTTGTTGTAGGTAGTGAAAAGCCGCAGTCTAGATCAAACTTGATAGTCTCAAGACCTATGAATATGAGTAGGATCTGCACTTGAACGTTTCTCGAGGTCAGACAGCAAAGATAATTCAAACAAGAAAAGAGCAGCACCATCCATTTGGACTTGATTTAACATAATACATGGCAAAGCATGCTAAACTATTAATCCTAATAATAAAAAAGCTAGAGAAGTTGAGCGATACATAAATTCGCCACATAAGTTGTCCCACCAGCCTATAGAGAGGAGGAGAATTGGACGATTTGTGCACGTATGTCTGACGCGCAGTGAACTGCAATCGCCAAATTAATTTATTTTTTAATAAATAAAAGTGAGGCAAACGGTAGGAGTTTAAAGTTAGGATTGTTGGGGCTTAGAAGCTGAGGGGCTAAAAGGAGATCACAAAAGAGGACTTCTAACAAAATAGGATCTGCTAATTTACTCGGCTTGCAGCTGCTTATATCGATCTGATATCAGACTCGAAGGCAGAAAAATGAACGAAACATTTTGGATGGAATCCTTCTTTTCGTTCGTTATTTGGTCTGACGAACAGAAAAAGTTTTCTTTAAATGGTGTCTTAAACAGAAGATGAGAATGCCGAAAGAGACTGAAGAAGGGCCAGACGAATCGGGATAACAGTGTGCCACATTCTGGAATGCAGTGAACAAAGAGAATAGGTTGATTGGGCCAATCTACCTGTCGGTTTCTGTCTGTCAACAAACGAATATCAGCCGTCCTTGAGGTGGTAGATGAAGCGAGGAATGGTGATCGGTGGACAATGAAAGATGCTCAAAGAGTGCCTTCCGGACTCTAGAAACGTCGAGTATAGTTTGTGTCTAGAGCTTCATCTGTAAAGGGCTGTGCTCATCTGGGGCTTTACCCTTGTTGGTTGGCTATCTTTAGTCTCACTCGATGAGAGCACTTGGGCTCACTTAATCATCCGAGTACAAAACGGATAACACGGAGCTTCCTTCTTCTCTGCTATCTGTCATACTATACACCCAAACGCAGACTCAAAAGTCCACATGCACATATACATTCACACAACACTCTCTGTCACACACACATACACACACACACACACAAACACACACAAGTATATTTTGGGTGAGCAGGCGTTTATAGTTGAGTATTAACCAACACTATCTTTTGAGTCAGCATCATTATCTGGTCATTCCAGGCGGCTTGCACTACTGATCAGGTAATTTGTGGTAGAATGCCTGCTACAGTCGAATCTGGAAAACGGGATACCGCTTGCCAGCCTTGCATGTAGCCTTTACACATTGGTCCAGCTCCATATCATTGGACCACTCGTCAACTGAGAAGGAGACATCACCGCCACCATTCGACAGATGGCCATTTCCAGCACAGACTATGTGTTCGCCGACCAGATGCAACTGAGATGCTGATGCTGCTGTTGCCAAGAGACCTGTGTTGTCCGACTTACGATAGCCCAACGAGTCAACTGCGGCGGCGGGGGAAAGAGGAGCAGCAG